TGCTCCCATGACAGAAAATTTAAAGGCTCCTCAATAGTTGGAGGATGAAAGTGTTGCTTCTTTATAGTTTTAGGACGTAATAGAAGCTTCATCATAGTTAGAGATCGAAATTAATGCTTTATCATAATTGGAGGACGAAATTTATGCTTTAGCCTAGTTGTAGGATGAAATTGATGCTATATCATAGTTAGAGGACGAATGGGATGCAATATTATAGTTGGAGGATGAAATATATGTTTCTATATAGTTTAAGGACGAAGCTATGCTTTATAATAGTTTGAGGATAAATTCGTTGCTTCTTCATATTTTGAGGACGAAATTAACGCTTTTATATTATTTGTTGACTAAATTGACGTTTTTACATAGTTGGAGGACGAAATTGATTCTTTATTATAAATATTAGGACTAATTTGAGTCTTGTACATAGTTGGAGGATGATATTGACGCTTCATCATAGTTGGGGAAAATTCGGCCACCTCCTCCTCCTACCCCTTCTTCATCTCTCTAGTCTCTTCTCTTGCAACAAATCCTTTTCCCCGTAGTCAAGGTGTTGCCCATTTATACCTGGCCTGCTCTGTACTTGAGCCAAGGATCCTCAGTTACTGTATTCCTTGCAGTGATAGCAATGGCAACTTCTGCCTTCCCTGTCTGCTCTTCACTTAAACCCACCAAGTTTCTTGATTTGCAACAAGGCCGTTCCCATTTCTTTAATCCCATTAAACCCGTTACAAAAAGAGGATTCTCTTCTTTTCCATTCTTGAATTCATATAGTATTACTAATAACAATTGTGTTTATAATGAAGATCCAATTTTTATCGACAGTTGGTTTAGGAATAGGAGGCGTTCTCTTTTCATAACATCAGTTTCCCCTCAGCAAGTATTCCCTCTCTCTAATGAATTTCCGTTGGACCGTTTGCATTTGATTTTTACGTTTTTGTTGGATTTTTCTTTAATTATTGAATTATGCTGTGAATCACTACTAAGGATTAGCTTGAAAAGACAGATTAGAAGTACGAAAGGGTACAGTGAAATGCAGCTCAATGTTCTAATTATTAGTAATATTTTTCAGTATAATGCATCTAAACTCATTCCTTTCTGTGTTCTCGAAAATACTACAAGTTGTGTTTCTTTGCATAAAGTTCAGAATTTGGAGTTGGAAACGTGAAGGCTACAATCCAAAACGAAGTCTGTAAC